CGACACATTTAGAAGTTTCTTTGTAGGTGTAGGCCAATGTGATGGCTTTCTGAAATAAAAGTCAATGAGTTGACACATGCTACCAAGCCTGATGTCCTGAGTTCAACCTCAGGGACCTACCTACATGGTGGAAAGCGAGAGCCAACGCCTAAAAGTTATTTTCAGACCTCCACATGTGTCCACACACTCAAGTGAGCTTGTGTGCACACGCACATACAGCTGGGGTACCTTGAATCCTAACGTGTTCATGCATGCCTGTGTTGTTTGGGAGGGTGAGGTAGGAAGGTTATGAATTTGAGGCTAGCCTGTACGACAGGGTAAGACCCTGCGAAAAGAAGGCAAATTAGAGAACACTGAAAGTTTATAGCAGGCTAGATGATCAGAGATGCACTATGGCTGGTCTTTAGAAAGTGAGAATTGGCCTTTTCCTGTAGCGTGCTTTAAATACAGGTACGAACATTTGGAGGTGGTCCTTAAAACCATCCTTAACAAAACTTGCACAGAATCTTGGACAGATAGATGTTTATCACATGTGACCACTGGTTACAAACAGTACATTACCAGCCGCTAGATTTAAGCCTACCTTGCCCATCCAAATCCCCCTCCCCATGTAAAGTATAGCCTTTGTTGCCAACAGTTTCTTTTGTCTTTCTAAAGTGTGTTATCAGTCTTCTGGTTCTGGCATACCTCAGATTTGCACAAGGACTTGGAAGTTTATTAAATAAGAAGCCAGTCAATAAAATGAGGCTGTCTTTTTCTTAATGAGGAAGTGACAGTCCCACTGGAGAACACATGGTGGCTTTTACCTAAAGCCCAGCTGTGGCCTGGGCAACAGAGCTGCTCCATGGTGTCTAGGCCGCAAATGCCCATCTGTCCAACACAGAGCACTTTCTGTTAAGCCTTTCAGCTTTGTTGGGAGGAAAATGTAGTTGTCACACCCACAGGATCCACCAGAGCCCTTTTGGGATATAGCTGTCAGCACCTTCATCTCTTGAACTTCTCTTTGTCCTTGACTGTCAAATGCCCTTCCCTGTGTTTTTATAAACAGAACATGTGGGATGCTGAAGGCAAGGTGCCCAGCACATCTGTGTTCATAGACAGTGCTGGTCAATCAAGGACTGTTACAAAGGCCATGTGGCAGCATTCATTTGTCATTTGTAGAGGGACAGGGATGTTTTGGAGTGCTAGACCTTTATCCCTCTTTGGTTTCAGCTGGGTCACCATGTGACTGAGCTAAGCTTCTGTTGTCATGGTTGAGTTTATGACAGTAAGCTCCCTGCAGCGAGGATCTTGTCTTCTGATTTCCACAGACTTAAGACACCATACATTCAGTGCATTGCTATGTGCTGACCCAGACAGAGTATGGCCACAAGAGATATGTCTTAAATCCTATGATTCTTTCTCTGGTTGCCACAAAAAAACAGGACTGAGAGATTTGCAGTTATGCTTCCACTTGTTAATTATCTGGATTTTCTCCTTCCCTTTTTTTCTGCCCTTCCCTTTTCTTCCCTCCCTTCCCCCCTTTTTTCTCTCCTCCCCTTCCCATTCCTCTTTCTCTTCCCTTTCCTTCCTTTCCCCTCCCTTTCCCTTTCTGTTTCCCTTCCCTTCCCCCTTCCCCTTCCTTTCCTCTTCCACTTTCCCCTCCCTTCCCCATCCCTTCCCCTTCCCTTCCCTTTACCTTACTTTTCTGTTATCCTTTTTTACCCCCCTCCTCCCTCATTCTCCCTGTCCTCCTCCCCTTTAGTTGATCCTTCCTTTTCAGTGAGGCTTAATTATGTTTACCAAATTTGGATTGTAAACACACCACACTCTGAAGTTAGTAACCTTTAGTCGAATGCCAATGTATAGTGAAAATATTTGAGAATCATTTTCCCTCATCAAGTTTCTTCATCTGCCCTGTCATGGGAGACACTGTGAGAGACACCTAGATAACTTGGCAGGCTTCTGAGATGGAATAAGCCTTGCCTAGACTCTAGGAACTGCCATTTTTCCTATGTTGACATGAAATGCCAACCTTTTAGTTGCCTTCAGTTTAAGCAAGAGTTGATTTTGAGCCTTTTGTGTTTATAGATGATTTACAGACCTGGGAGATGCAGGAGTTGGTTTCTCTTTCCCCATATACAGCATTTTCTTGCTAGAACATGTCCTTCACGTCTCAGTCTAGAATATCTTCGTAAGGCTTTATCCGTAAACGCTACACAATTTATGTCAATACAAATACCAACTCTTCCAGCTCCTTACGACAAAGCAGACAATAAATTAAGGCAATCCTTAGTTTATCAAAACCTGGACTGTTTAATCCGGGCACAATGTAGAGTTATGCCTGTAATCCAAGCACTTTGGAGGTGGATGCAGTAGGTTCATTCTGGGTCATCCTTGGATGCAAAGCAGGTCTGAGGCCCAAAACTGGCCACATGAAACTCTGCTTCAAAAATAAAGACTTCAGACACCGTGATATCTAATGTATCCTATTGAATTATTACCATCACAGAAAGAGAAAACACAAAAGCTGGGTCACTATTCTACTACTTTTAGCTGACTCACAGACACTTGCATATGTATCCTAAAAGATATTTTCCCTCTCTAAATACTGAAATCAAAAGTATAGCTTTTCCTTGCACTTTTCTTTTTTTTTTTCTTTTTATTCACTTTTGTATGTATGGATCCGTGCATTCAAAAGTCAGAGGACACTAGGAGAGGTGGTTCTTTCCCAAACACAGATGGCTAAGTTTGGTGTCAGGTGCCTTTACCTGCTGAGCCTTCTTGACACTCTGTCTTTGCACATATATTTTTTATTATTGGTAGTATAATATACTATTTTGTTATAGATGAACCTTAACTTAATATATATATTAAGTTGTATTTTGTTCACAGTCTCCAGGTGTCTAGTGAGTTTTGTTGGTAATGGCTTGCAAGTCTATAAAACCTTTTTATTTAACAGTATTAGAAATATAAGTTATTTTCCCTGGTGAACTCCTCAAACTGAATGGACATATACCCTAAGTCTCTGTGCTGCTAGGCAAATGATGCCCTGACTGTACAACAGAGGGTTTGCATATTATGTTGCTTCTATGCAAATTTCAGGCCAGTCCATACTCAGCATGGAGTTTAGGGTGTGGTAGGTACTTGAAGTGAAGGTTAATTTTGTTGCCCAGGTGGTCCCAGTCAGAATGGTGCAGAATGTATTCCGTTTCTGCCTCACAAGTAGGCAGGCAGGCCAAAGTGGGTAGTAGAGTTCTCTCGTGAGCTTGTCAGTAATTTCACCTTTTCTTCATGAATTTTCTTTGTGGCAGAGATGAAAGAAGAAAGGAAAAAAAAAAAAGAAAACCCATAAGAAGTTTGGTCAACAAACTTGACCTATTTGATTGTGTTAGACAATTCCATCCAACAACAGCAAAACACACATTTGTTCAAGGAACTCAGAGCATATTTGCAATGCTCTGAGGCATGAAACAAGGGATGGAAGGAGAGGTGTTTCTGTTTTTTGGTTAACCATATCTTACTATATGTATATCAACAGGTTCGTGGGTAAATGAATTGGTACATCCATATAACAGAATACTACCCAGTAAAAAGGAATGGACTTTGCATAGACGTAACAGTATGGATGAAATTAGCTTTGTGTAAATATGAGTGACCTGAGACAAAGTCAGCACTTCTAGTCTGTTTTGACTTCAGAGCAAACATGTTAATCAACTGTCATAGCAGATCAGTGATGGCTGGGGATGATGGGACAGGGAGGAAGGGTTGAAGGGACATGTGACGATGTCAGGAATGATGGCACATATGCCTGTGGTCTTGGTTGGTACTCAGAGTGTTGAGGAAGAAGGATTGTGAGTTCAAGGTCTACTTGGTCTGTGTAGCAAGACTGTTTCTTAAAGAGTAGGTGGGTGGTAGGAGAGGCACTGTTAAAGGTGATTGATGGGTTATCTCAGTTAATGATTGTGTGTGTGTGTGTGTGTGTGTGTGTGTGTGTGTGTGTGTGTGAAAACTAAACAAATACTACATTTTCAACATACAGCATGGACGTCTAAATGCATTTAGAGAAACCAGTCAGTGTTGTGAGATTGCTGTGTCACATGTGTGGAACACTAACATGCAGATGGCCTAACATCACACTGTGCACTGTTCTGGACCAGTAAAAGGGGCCTTGATTTTTGATTCTGTACACACAGAACCCCAACCCTGAAAACTGTTAGAAATCTAGCTTATGGTCTCCCTCTTTGTCCTTTATATATGGTTAGCAGCTGAACCCAGTGTCTTATAAGGGGCACAATCACATACTCATCTGAGTAGAGAAAGAGAGTCGACAGCTAGGCAGTGCTTACTCTGCAGCAAGTCCTTCTGCAGTCCCGAGCAGGTTCCTGAGCCAGTAGCTTCTGATGTGCCCTCTGGTTTGACCCTACGTTCCTTGTGTAGTCTGGTCCACTCTGCTCCTAGAATGTACTGTGCTGCCCTGCACTTGGCCCCATCTGTACTTTCCTTCATGCCCACCCTCCACCTCACTGTCATGTCTCCCTCTCTTTCTGGGAGAATCCTGTGGACTCTTAGGTTCTGGTTCATATGCTGGTTCTGGTTCATATGCTCAGCTGCTTTCTCTGATTCTCAGCCAGAAACAGCCAGTGTTGTTTATCTTAATAGACATCAGACATGTTAGTTTGCACGCAGTGTCTCCCTGCATGTGTGTTTGTTTACACATATGTCCTGGATGACTTCTGTCATTGGCACCTAGTGGGTTCCTTGAAGGTTTATGGGTTGGCTGTTTCGTAGAACACAGAAGAAACTGTAGTCAGCAAGAGAGACGACAGAGTGGTCACCTGTGGCTTCTGTATAGGGATGCTTGACTTAATCTTGGTACTTTTATGCTTATTAAAAGAATACTAATTAGCACCATCAAGGGACACGGTGACAAGAGATACAAAGCATGAGAAAACAAAACTTAAGGTGAGAAGTAGCCTCCTTAAGTATGCTTTTGCTCACGTGTTCCCTTTGTTTTCTAGGTCCGGACCCTATTTGTCAGTGGTCTACCCCTGGACATCAAACCCCGAGAGCTCTACCTGCTCTTCAGACCATTCAAGGTACTTCATGAATGTGTCATCGTCGTGGCCTTTAGAGGGGGGAAATGTTAATAAATCTCAGCATTCTAACATACAGTCCGTCTCACTGGAAAGGTAGACTAGCATTGTCCTTTGGTCTCTGACAGCATTTTCAGAGCATTCTGTCCTCTCCCTCCTGTGGAGAGGCAACTGGCCCAGGCATTGTCTACTCTATGAAGGTCAGCTTCAGCAACCTCCAGTCAGAGGCGATCCCCTAAGCGCAGAGCATTAGGGGTCCAGGCTGGGTCAGGAAATATGCTAGCTCTCAGGAAGATCACTTATACCTAATGGGTATAAAGTCCTGGGTTTGATTTCCCCAGCAGCACTCCTCCCCCCAATGAAAAACGTATGTATTTACAGTTGAAATGCAGTGGTGTATTTCAGGTCTGTTCATGGGTGGCACATTATTGGCTATAAACTTTTCGACAGTTCTGTATGGCTGTGAATGAGCATTTCTTTCTTTCTTTTTTTAATGACCTGGATTAAGAATCTTGTGTTTCCTTTACACCAAAAGTCATAAATGTTCAATAGAACAAAATGTTATGTAGACTGACTTTGTATGAATTGAAGGGAAATTTTTCTCTAGTGTTTAATGAATTTTCTAATGGAGTTTTCTGTCAGAAATAAAATCACCTTAGAGATACTGAATGTTGCTGGATTGAAACCTTAACAATTTGCTTCAAGTTAAAGTTAACCTTAATGTTGGGCGAAAACTGAGGTAACTATGGCGGCAAGAAGAAGCCTTGAAGCTTCGCCTTTGGAAGCTAGAATGTGACGTGGAAAGTAGCATGAATTCAGGACCTGTTAGTTAGAGAGGTTTTGTTAGCAGCAGGAGGAGTACGGAAGCTTGGTATGGACAATCTTACAGTTACGGAATGGCCTAGATTTCTGATTCAAGACGTCTTAATTGAAGGAGGACGATTGAGAGACAGGGTTCAGCGTGATAGACATGCGGCAGCAGAAACACGAAGATTGGGAAGGAGAAAGGTTCAGGGAAGAGGCAGATACGACCCCCAAAGATGAGAGTATAGTTGATGTGCTAAGGAGGCACTGTGGGAGTGTGGAGAGATAGGTAGCCATTCCCATCATGCATCAATAGCAGTGACAGCAGAGAGAAACCATTTGGTTCCTGTTTGTTATCCTGCTAGTCCAGTCTTCCTGAGTGAGATACCATTTGTCCATCAAGGCTTGAAATCTTCTGTGATGTGAGAGAGAGAGAGAGAGAGAGAGAGAGAGAGAGAGAGATATCGATCCCCTTGTAAAGCAGGAAGAGGCAGTGCTGAGTTAGGACCTTTCTGCGTGGATGCACTCAAGGCCTTGGATGTAAATATTTACAGTAGTTAGTTGGCAACTCAGTTTTCTGCTGGGAAAATGTGAGGATGAAGTCAGGACCTTGGAACATCTCTGGCAAGCCTCTTTGAATTACAGCCCAGGGCAGCTGACCCTGCTGTGCAAGCCTGTCTCTTTCTCTACACCGATACCGTTACCTGTCGCTCATGTCAATTGGTGTATTTCCCTGTGTCACCTTTCAGTGAATGCTGTCAGCCGTTGATATTTCCAGAAGAAAGCACTGTTTTCTTCTGAAGACCTAGGAAGAGGGAAAGAGAGCTAGAGAGAGACAGCAGTGCCTTTCTGAGGAGGAGCTGGAATAGAAACACGGGGAGGGGGTGTCTTTGTGCCTGCCAGACTCCACCATGGAAACTGGAAACTGGCTGTCTTGTTAAGCAAGCAGAGCTCAGCAGAATGCTGTATCTCCTGCGCAGCCCTTCCTGGTAGTTTTCATATAGTTTTCCAGTTTGTTTTGTTTTGCAATACTGGGAGCTAAACCCAAGGCTGGCCAAGCACCATGCACCAAGCTACACACGCACCGTGTATGTCTCGTGTCTGTCTGTAAGGTGTTCCCTGGGTAACTGTAGAGGCATCTGCGAGAAGGGCGACACAGTTGCTAGTCTTCGGCATAAATGAAGAAGATGGAATTGTAATGCTCTCTTCCTTCCTTCTAAACTTGCTCTCTGTTTTTCAGGGCTATGAGGGTTCTCTTATAAAGCTCACATCTAAACAGGTAAGAATTTAGAACTTTTAAAAATAATCACCTTTTACTAATAAAAGCCTAATAAGTATTCTTTTGTTTCAATTAGGATTTCACCCGTGTGTTAGGAAAGTTAAGGGTGAGATTGATTGGGAATCAGTATAGGAAAATGGTATATAATTCTGTAGTTTCCAGTTAGGAAGCTTTTGAGACTCAGGTATAAGGATAGCGCCTCCCACGGAGTTACATTGGCACTAATGATTTCTTCCAAAAGTCATATTATCTAGATTCTAAGTCATAATTTTTGCAGTTTATTATATATATCCTAGTATTGTATATATTGTTATATAAAATAAACCTCAAAAGTTTTATATTTACAATATATCTTTATATATATTATTAAATGTAGATAGATAGATAGATAGATAGATAGGTAGATAGATAGATGGTGTTTTGCCTGCTTGTATGCTACATCTCTCTCGTCATTGTCGATAGAGGCCAGGAGAGGGCATCATCAAGCCCCTGGAACTCACACAAGACAGTTGTGAGCCACCATGTTGGTGTTGGGAACCAAACGTAGGTCCTGAAGTGCAGTCAGTGGTGTTAACCATGGAGCCATCTCTTAAGCCCTAGTCATGCTTCTTGCCTAGTTCTTTCCATGGAATCTTTGCAGTTTACATAGGAATATTAGACGGTAAACAATCATACTGTCCATTGAACCTATAAAAGCACAGATAAAAAGCCAGGAAGTGGCAGCACATACTTTTAATCCCAGCAGGTGGATCTTTGTGCATTGGAGGCCAGCCTGGTCTACAGAGTGAGACAGAAAATCTGTCTCAAAAACAAAACAAAACAAACAAACCTACTGATGACTCCCAGGTATAGAGTGAAGTGTAGAAAGCATGAGTTGATGGGGTTCTCAGATTGACTGAACGTGTCTTATTTTTGAAGCTGAAGACTTCTCAGTGAGCCACATAACCTCTGCTGCATCAGAAATGAGCAAATTGCAGGCAGCCTACCCATTGAAAGATCTAAACGGAGCCAGCGCCTATTACTTTGAGCAGATGTTTTAAAAGGCACGGCTTTGGACGTGAGATGGAAAGGTTCATTTTGTAGCCTTGGTTGCGCAGTGAGACCACAGGTCCTTTTACCATCTTGTCATTATATTCCTTGCACTTACAGTGAACCAAAAGCTGATTCGGTTTCTCTTTGCATTTTAAAAGACGAAGAAGCTGAGGTACAGTGAATTTGATTTAGGAAACTAGAACCTCTCCAACCCAGATTTTCCTCTGCCCCCCGTTCACTGCTGCTCACCTTCCAACCACCTCTATTTTTCTTTTTTTTTTCTTCTTTTTTCTTTTTCAAAAACGTGATTCTCTATATTCTTGGCTGTGCCCTTGAAGAACTGCCCTCACCATCCCTTTGATTCACGTGAGAAATTTGGTGAAGCCACGAGGTCCTGATTCTTTGGGATTGGCTTTCTTATTTCTGCCCATTGCCTGTGGTCATTTCTTTATTTTAGTTCCTCAGTTAGACACCACCCTTGACTAGAAAACAGACATTCCTTGATTTTGGGTTTGTTGGTTTTGTTTTTTTTTTTCCTTGATTTTTTTTTTCTCTCTCTCTTTCCCCCAGCCTGTAGGTTTTGTCAGTTTTGACAGTCGTTCGGAAGCAGAAGCTGCAAAGAACGCTTTGAACGTAAGTGTGCGTCGCTCTGATCTAAGTGTGCATTGTCTGATGGAAGTGTGCATTGCTGATTGTAACTGGGCCATCGCTGTGATCTGGGCAGCTCCTTAGGCAATGCAAAACGGTGGCATCCCAGAAGTCACGTGCCACTGGAGTTGTTAGTACCAGAGGCTTCAGTAGCCGTAACAAGTGATACCCAGCTTCTTGCCCCACCACATGCCATTGAAGAGACAAATAATAGTGAGACAGAATGTCTCAGTCACTGTGCTGTTGCTGTGAAGAGACACCATGACCATGAAAACCCCTACAAAAGAAAGCAAGGCTGGGAGGTGAGGGTGGGGGCCTCATATAACGTCTAGGCCTTTGTGCAGGGACACCCTGACACATGCCTGGTCTCAGCTTTTCCTTAGCTGTGGAGGGAAATTCTACAACCCCTTTCTTGTACTCTTGGCTCTAAAGCCAGAAACACCTGGCCGAAGCTGTTAAGTTCTGCTACTTGGGGGTGGAACCTGCTCTCCTTTTCCAATAACATTTGCATCAGCTTTCTGTTTCTTTAATTCCTTCTTATAAATGTGAAGCTTAGTTGGTTGGAGTCTTGCCTTGAGGTCACCACTCCTTTATCCCATTTAGCATCAGGCTTTCCTTTAAACTTTTTATTTCAGTACTGGGCACTACACTTTCTGATGCTCCTTTTCTCCTCAAACAGCATATTGTTATTTCTCTTTGTCTAGCTTGTTCCTTTTCATTAGAGATCTGCAGAAGAGTTATTAGTAATAATCACATAACACAGCCAATATTAGGTCCTCTTAAAATCTCCTGCCAGTGCCATTAAGCCCAATTACTTTCAGCCAGAATTTTAGTTTTCTTTTTTTTTAAAAAAAAAGAGTGTAGCCACATCCTTGGCCAAAATACCACAAGAGTAGTCTCCGGGCCCTTTACTAATATTCTTCTGAAACCTGGAGCTGGGACCCCACAGTTCCAGTCACCTTCAGCACTGGTCTCCATGTTCCTACTAGGATGGCCCGTTAACACCCCCACCTCATCTCCCCCATACCCTGCTTAAAAGCATCTATCTGTTTTTGTTTGTGTGTTTGTGTGTTTTGTTTTTTCCTAGTCCAAAGTCCCAAAGTCTTCTCATATTCTTCCAACAAAGAGTATGGTCAGGCCTGTCACAGCGATACCCCACTCCTAGTAGCAATTTCTTTTTCAGTCATTGTTCTATTGCTGTAAAGAGACACCACGACCATGGCAACTCTCATTTATAGAAAGAAAACATTTAATTGGTGGCTTGCGGTTTCACAGGTTTACTCCATTATCATCACGGCAAGAAGCAGGCAGAATCACACATGGTGCTAGAGTGAGCTGAGAGTTCTACATCCCAAGCCATAGACAGCCAGCAGCAGAGCCTGGTCGGCTTCTGAAAACGCAAAGCCCATCCCCAGTGACACACTTACTCTAACAAGGCCACACCTCCTAATTCTTTAAAATAGTGCCACTCCCTAAGCATTTAGATATATGGATTTGTGAAAAATCATTCTTATTCAAACTACCACAAAGAGATAGGAGGGTTTGTGGTTTTTTGTTTTGTTTTGTTTTTTGTTTTTTTTTTCCAGTCACACTGGGATATGGAACAAACAAGAAGGCCCAGTAATCCCCCACTAAACTCCATCTGTGGAGTTCTGATTTGGTTTAAGGAGGCGCCTGGGATATACATAGCTCAGAAGTTCTCCCGGAAGTTGGGGCCCACCTACTGTCAACTGCCATCTTTATCTTGGTTCCTGGTTTGTGTTGCAAGTTGTCTGCTGTCTGTGTAGTATCTTTCTGGGGAATACAGTCTCCTTTGGTGGCACAAGGATCCCAGCTTTTCCTCTGAGGGAAATTCTACTTTCTTAGGTCCTTTCTTCAGTTGTTGAATAGGTAAGGGGTAAGGTATAAGTATCTGTGTCTCTTTAGAATGTCTTTGCTGCCGGGCTGTAGCTTAGTTGCTTGCCTAGAATGCAGGAAACCGTGGCATTGATACTCAGCATGGTATAAAAGCTCAGTATCATGATGCATGCCATTAATACCATAATTTAGTTTAGAGACAAGAGGATCAGAAGTTCACTGAGGATAGCCTGGACCATCCACCCAAAACTTATGGATATAGGTTTTTTTGTTTGTTTGATGGTTTTGAGATAGATTTTCTCTGTGTAGCCTTGGCTGTCCTGGACTCATTTTGTAGACTATGCTAGCCTTGAACTCAGAGATTTACCTGCTTCTGCTTCCCAGAGTGCTGGAATTACAGGCGTGTACCACCACACTGGGCTATTGATACAGTTTAATGGTAGACTACTTGCCTATCACATGAAGGCTCTGCCTCCAGTGCTTGGTACTATGAAAGAAAGAGAGAGAGAAAGAAAGGAAAGAAAGAAAGAGAATATTCAGTAACTCCTGCCAGGATGGTTACTGAAGAAGTATGAGTAGTGCCCAGTCCAATGGAGAGGGATTCATCAGTTTAATTAGGCCTCTTGTGCTTTCTCCTAGATTAAAACCAGACAAATTATTAAGTAAAAATTTGCTTTTCTCCAGAAGTCTCACTGAAGTGCTTGAAATATCTGGTGTAGGCCATATTGTACCATGGGTCCGGCACATCCGTGAAGGCATGCAGCTGGTCTGTCTGCCGCATGGGAGCTGATAACGAGCATAGGTTGGTCACCACTGTGCTCACGCCAAGCCAAGAACAAATCAAAACCTTGCCTTTTTTTCCTTCTTTATCCTGTTTACCTTTTAGAGCATTTTCTTTTAATGAGCCAAAATTTTTACTTATTTGTTTCTTGCATTTGAAGTGCCCTCAATGACATCCTCTGCCCCTCGATTTATTGATTTTTGCAGAGGACTACCCATTCGCCTAGTTTCTTATCATCAACCTTAATCAGGTTGATCTGGTGCTCAGCAGAGCATCTCCACCAGCTTGACATACATAGGCTCCCCACAGTTGGACACAGTCACACAAAGATGAACCTGGCACCTGTCTAAGGCTTTGGCAGCTTCACGTATGCTACGTGCTAGGCCGTCGTGGCTGAGGGCAGTCTCCAGAACCTCTTGTAGAGCAGTATTGACATCCATTACACCTCTACCAGCGGTGTCTTCCTTGACCATGGGGGTGGATTCCAGGTGAGGCCAAATCTTGAATGCACCCAAGCCTCTGCCGCTGAGAAACTCTGGCAGCAACTTCCTGTGGCAGCAGGGGCAAAGAGATCATAATTTTTATTCTGATTGATTAAATCACTGGCAGCACACGCCTTTGATCCCAGCACTCAGGAGGCAGAGGCAGGTCAATTTCTCAGTTCAGGGCCAGTCTGGGCTACAGAGCTAAAAACAGAGAAAAACCTGTCTTGGAAAACCAAACAGGGGAAAAAAATTGCACTTAGAGCTTTCTCAGAAGACATTCTGTGCTATTATGTTGTATTAAAGTATAGTTACAGTATAGGCATTTGTCTGACACACTTTTTTTTTTAGCTTGTGCCACTGTTCTTCTCAGAAGCATTTTCTTCCTTTTATATGCTGAAGCCACACGTCCCTAAAGGGGTAAAGACAGCTAAGTTCAGTTCCTACTGGCTGCTAAATGCTGGCCCTTAAGGAGTTTCAGTCACGTGTGGCTATGGTGTGCCCCAGGCAGTTGGCAGTAGTTTGTGTTGGTGCTCCAGGGTGTTCTGTCTGCCCCATGCCAACTAGCTACAGGTCACTGAGCTTTCTGGTCCTAAGTCCAGAGATAGCTTATTAATCTCTATGTGCCAGCTCTCCTCTCTCCTCTCTAGCAGCAAGCCTTGTAGTAGCATCCTGTCCCCTTGCCATAATCATTCCTGTTGGTTGCTAAGATCATCAAATAATAGCCATCTAATTTTCTGGCTTGGCGTGAAATTAGTGGGCGTGGGAGGCTTGCTTTTATGTGTGGAGTGGTGAGCTGCGCTTGCTTAGAGCTGACTTGGGAACACAGGCGCTTGGAGCATTTCTTGATTGATGTTCTCAATTTGTGTGCATCGTATTAGAGCTTCACCATACCTTACAAACCTGTGCAGTGCCCGGTGTTGGTGGCCCATTCCTTTAATATCAGGAGGCAGAGGCAGGTGGATCTCTGATTTCGAGTCCAGCCTGTTCTGTGAGTCCAGGACAGCCAAAGCTACACAGAGGGAAAATTATCTCGGGGGGGAAGGAAAGAAGCTTTTTCTGCAGTTGTATTAGGGAAACAGATGTAGAGGGTGGTAAGGGTGGGGATGGAGCTAGGTGACTCAGAATTGGACCCCTACATCTCAGCCTGTTCTGCCCTGGCTTGTTGCTACACTCTATCTGGTGGCACTTACAGACTTTACTTGTCCTGTTGTCCAGGACAGGTAGCCGTGGTAAAGTTTGTATGCGACCATAAAGCTTGGTTTCCCCTCTCTATAGAGAAAATGGGCCCGTTAGGTTGATGTTCATGAACATAAAGCTGCTGCTGATCTTTCTGGGGCCTGACCTGTTTGCTCTTTCCAGGGTCATCTTTGGTAATTGGTGAGTTAAAGACGCATACTGCCTGCAGCTATTGCAAAAAACTCATTCCTTGTGTCATTTGTCGAGGCTCGTTCCAAAGCGTCCCCTCTGATCCTTAGAGGATAATTCAGTGCTGTAATATTTGGTTTGTTTCCACTGTTGGGAAATGTAAACCTTGATCCAGAAAGGGCCTCTTCTGGAAGACGCCACTGTGCGCATCTGCTTCCGTGTTGGGAGCTTTCCTTGGTGCTTTGTCTTGGTTTCTCCCTAATTAAGTCATTGTTAGCTTTCTGTAGACAAATGATTTTAAACCCATTGGCTCCTCTGCCACTTGTAGCCTGAGCTTCGGTCAGCTGGACAGTCTTTTGGGACAGTGTCCTCAGGTTCTGTTAGCACTCAGCTGTGCCCGGAGGTTGTTCACGTCCCCTAGAGTAAAGGCTTTTTGCTTTTGTAGGAAAAGCTCCCAAATTAGGCTATGAACAACTCAAACCCAGATTTCTCTTTTG